TTAATTTATTTAGTTCTACATTTACAAAAAATATTGTCTATATTATAGTAGCCGTTTTTTAATCGGTGTAAAGAATAACTGGTTGTTTACAAAAGCATTTTGATATTGGTAAAGGCGTCTGCAACTTTTGTGAAGCATCAAATCACTGGCATATTAACTGCCAAAAGATGTTTATGACTGCATAAATGTAATATTGCATTTAAAAAGTCACATATTCTGCATTTCTATTATTATACACATTTTGTACTAAGCGATCTAAAAAGTTCATATCAATAAGTTTTCTCTTTGCACCACCAGGTGGCAGTCTTTGTACTTTCATTTCGAGAGTGCAGATAGCATACGTTTTATTAATATATAACTTTATTTATTTTATTAATAACTATAACTTTATATATATATATAGTTTAAACAATATTTACTCTTTTCCCAAGTGTATATAACTACTACTGTAAGAAAATATCAGAATTCAGAACATACCTTCTGTATTATATTTGCTTGAATTGAGCCGATCTAATCCTGTTTATATAAATTAAACCTGCTCCCGATCAGGTTTAAGCTAGCAGAACTGTTGCTATGACAACAACTCTCGGATCAGCTTTGAAGAACGAAACGATCCTGGATTGTGTCAAACCGTCAATATCCAAATCCAGCTAACTGAGTTATCCACGTACGAAGAACGGACCCCCGGTGAACACTACGACCAATCAGCGCTGTTTAAGAACGCGCTCAACAGCACTGAAATGTTAGCAAGTAATGGATGTTTTTAAAATTTCAGTATCGATTAATACTGAACTCAATACTTTTGACAACACTAGTATTTACTTCTAATTCTTGTTCTGAAAGTGATTGTAGCCTGCATAAAAACCCCTCAAACTAAAACACATTAAAAATATAGTATAATTTTTTCATCTTCTTTGAGAACACAGTGGTGTTTTTATTTTAGACCACACTGGTGGTTTTAGGCATACAATGACCCCTTGCGGTTCTAGTGTTAAAAAACACAACCAAACGAATCAGATCAGAATAACGGTGTGCTGATGTGAATCTATTAGACTCCAAGACTGACCTCTGTGCCGATGGTGGGCTGCACTCCGGCATGGGTCGATCCTGGAGGCGGACCACCATATTTGCGCTGGCCTGTCGTCACGTCAAGCGTATAGCCAGTTCTCTCCAGCAGAGCCTGGCGAAGCGGCACACAGAAAAGCACTTGTAACTGGATCAATAGTAAAAGAACGAACGAGAACCAACAGCGGCTGGACAGAACAGACAGTAGAGAAGTGAAGCAGACTGACTTTGATTTTGGCCTCGTCTGGTCCTTTAGTAGAGTCTGACACTTTGGTCCCCTGCTTCTCCCTCTGCCTGTACGTCTTCATCACTCCACAGAGGAAGGCACTTTTATTCTGTGCAAAACATGAAGTGAGCATGAGGTGCGTGTGTGTGCCAGCAAGTGGACAGGAATAAAAAGAGAAACTGAGACCGCATCAGAACCATTGAGTTCTCCTTCTCAACTAAATCACGCTTAAATCACACTTAACATATAAGACCGATAATTAAGCTTAAAGGAAACCATGCTTGTCATTTGTTTAATTTTGTTGTCATTGTTACGAACACTGATTTGCCTTTGATGTTTAAATCGATTTAAATTCATAATTCAATACAATTTACCAAACTGATCGCACTAAAAACAAAATCGGTACGGTACAGTAGGGTATGGTTTGGGTCATCTTTATCTTAATACTTGTGTATAAATGTTCATAACTAACCTTTCTATGAAAAGGATTTTATTATAGCTGCGGATCAATGATCTGATGATGAAAAACTACGCAACGCATACATTTAGTCCTCATTTAGGTTCAGAAACACGCAACTTATAGCCCAGTCAAGAGCAAACCTCTCATCTTTAATCTTCAGCAGCACATGTAACCTCTGTTAGAGACTAAATCCGTCATTCTTAGTTCATAATAGTCCAAAAGGCGCCGATAATAATTAAACATGGCAGTTTGTTTATATTTTAGGTTGCTGAAAGTATCAATTGCTCCTTTGTTTTTTCCGGCTTTTCGCGCTTCGCTCTTACGTTTGTCCGTTTCTGAAAGGATCTGATGTCAGAAGCACTTCAATGATCACGCACATGTTGTTATCATCAGCTCAAAAAGTTTGTTATTTCAAATGTAGAAGCGTGACGAGTGACTGCCAGCTCTCTCTCGAGAGAAAGTGAAACCATTCATGCTTTAGACGGCCTTCTTCATGGCTTTGTGGCTGTTTATCAAGACAACAAGATTTGCTCTGAAGAAGCTCTGGTCGACCATGGCTTGTTTTTATATGCATATATTATTACAGTGTAATGTTTCTGTTGTGTATTTAAAAATGGCGTTTCCTTTGAATTCTGACCTATCAATAAGCAGTTTCGGAAATGCGTTCAATAACATCTGGCCAATGAGTGATTTGGATTGTCACATGACTGCATTTTGGTTCTTTTCAACTGGTTCGAACCAAAGCCAGCAGTGTGGTGTTAAAACGACCTAAAGACGGCAGAAAATGCAACAACGTATCATTTGTTGCCCTTGATCCGGACCAGATGTGAAAACACCAAAAGGCCATTTTCACGCTAAAAAATTTAATTATAGCATAATTAAAACACAAAAGAATAATTACATTTTTATTTTTAATGTTATGCTGTCCACAAAGTGCTTTATTTAAAGACCATAAAACTGTAACATCTTAAAAGCTACTTAAATGCAAGAATCAAAAATGTCAAAGACACTTGGTGACAGGAAACATTTGAGACTTTGTATTACTTTGTCAAACATACCTGAACGTGCGACAGGTCGCTGTCTTTAAACTGCAGGAGGACTTGCAGTGCGCCTTCTTCGTTGAACTCTTTGAGAGCTTCAATCGCTCGATCGTCGAGATCGCTGTGAGACACGAGCCCTGCACAAAAACACACCCTTTACACACAACAATCTGCCAACACATTTCACCTTATAAATTAGCAAACAACCAGAAAGATTGAAACTTTTTCACACGCTGATATTCACAAATTCAATATAAAATCCCACAGGCCCTCTCTAGACAAACAGATTTTCAAAACCACAGTATGGTTGTTCGTCCACACAAAGACGTGCCATCAAGCAACAGAAACCGAAACTTTGACACCACCAGCCAGAGAAGATTTTTAGGTTGCTTGTGGTTCTTTTGCACCTCATGACGTCAGCATGCGCAGTTTCTTCTTTCTGATTGGCCAAAATGGCTTTATTCTAATGCTGAGCTCACACACAAACACAGAGCACCCCCTCACTTGTTTTTCACCTCATGTAAATTCGACAAGTTTCATGATTTGAATTTACATCCGTTTTGAGTGAATTTGCCGTGTCGCACATTCTGCATCATTCACACCACGTGACGATAATTCACCCGTGTTTGCACTGACTTATGTAACTCCTCCAACAGTTAATTATGCTTTTGGTGCGAACACAGCATAGACTTTTAAATCACTTCCTGTTGATTCTGCGTTGCCTTGAAAATAATCACAATGTATTTTCATGTGGATGGAGAAACAGAGATGAAAAAGACTCCTGGAGAGCCACAGCTCTGCAGAGTTGAGTTTTAACCCTTATCAAAACCCTAATCAAGCTAATCGAGTCCTTCAGGCTTGTTTGAAACCTACAGGCAAGTGTGTTGAAGACAGGTTTGAAGTAAACTCTTGACACCCCTGATTTTTCGCTATAAAGGCACATTATAGATACTGTGGGCACTTTAAAAGTAACTAATAATTATTCACCGTGCATCACTCTGCAATTGTCACATCACAAGATATGCAAGTTTGAGACTGAGTTATAGTTGACCAGGAGCTACAGAATTGTGTTTAATTACTGCATTTATACAGAATTTATAAGATTTATGCAAAAAAAAAATAATTGTGCTTAGAACTTTTGTTATGTTTCTAGTCGAACTATATACATTTCAAAAGCAAAAACAAGATTTTACTTACACCTCTGGCAGATCAGTTACCTTGCATTAAGGAAAAGCTCCTTAATTTAGCCTTATTTTTTCTGAACAAAACAATATTTTTTACTTCATCTAAGAATTTTTATGTTGGGACTAGGCTTGGGCGGTAATACGGTAATATAGTATACCGCAGGATCTAAAAAATAGCAACGGTGTCAGGTTTAATATTGTCATAATAAACAATGCACTTAAATAGGAGACAAGTATTAAATAGTAAATATTATTTATTTAATGCTTACAAATGCATTTGCCTGATTGTCATCACGGGAAAGTGTGGAGGAAAGGGGGGGAGAGGGGGAGGGAGAGAGAGAGAGAGAGAGAGAGAGAGAGAGAGAGCGCGAGTCTCGGTTTCGACCGAACAAGGTAGACGTGGTAAATGCAAACTAGAGGTCTGCATTCCCGCTGCTGTACCGTGGGACCAGACCAGATTTTTTGCGGTGCAGGAATACATTTCTGAATAAAGCGCGGGAGTGGTCGGTAACTCAGGTGTAATTTGTAAACAATATCGCTCCCGAGCACGCGCGCATCCACTTGGATGCTGTTTGTGTGTGTGTGAATGAGAGAGAGCATAATGCTGTGTTGCTTGGTGCTCTCTCTATGTGTGTGTGTGTGTGTTTGTGTGTGAATGAGAGAGAGAGCGTGGTGTTGTGCGTTGCTTGGTGCTGTCTCTCTCTCTATGTGTGTGTGTGCGCGCGTCCCGCTCAGATCTCTAATACGAACAAGACCAACAGGTGACCGCGAACCTAAGGTCACATACACGGTATTCAGTTTCTGAATGGTTTAGGCACAAGCCAACAGTTTGGTGATCCTGTCTGAGCCTTACGTCATTTTTTTTTTTATTATTAGATTAGATAAGATGCAGAAAAAGCAACAGCGAGACAGCTCTGGAAAAAGCTGTTCCTTAGTCTGCTGGTTTTTTCCAGGGGAGCCAGAAGCGCCTGCCGGAAGGCACAGTAATATGCACGGCAATACCGGATACAGAGGTAAAATAGGGAGGGAGGTATCAAAATTTGGATTCCGCCCAAGCCTAGTTTGGACTAGAGACAAAGCAAAATTAAAAAAATAAATAAATAAAATGTTGTGATCATTTAATTTCTGCACCTGAATACAGTTAGACTCCGCAGAAAACCAATTCAAACTTTGTGAAATTGTATTCATATCGCCATATTTATCGCAGGACAATACAGAATCCCAATATCAGATTTTATAATATCGTGCAGCCCTACTTTTTTCATAATCAATTTTATTATCAGACCCAATAGTAAAAAAAATATATAATAATAGTATTATCATATAAAACACTGCAAAAAAAAAAGAACACTTCCAACAGCCACACAAACACCACACCGCATACAATCCTATAGAGCAGGGGTGTCAAACTCAGTTCCTGGAGGGCCGCTGCCCTGCAGAGTTGAGTTCCAGCCCTGCTTCAACACAGCCATCTGTAGGTATCAAACAACCCTAAATGTGCATTCACACAGGGCTTCAGCGTCAACACTGGGCAGAGGTGTGTCTGAAGTTGGGGCTGATGTGATCATCCCAGCAGCATCAGCCAATGAAATTAGTCTGCAATCAACTACTGCTTAAGTTGGGGTATTTGCAAAAAGCAATCTGATTGGCTGACGCTTGAAAGGTTTAGAAATTTCCAGCGAAAAACGCCACTGAAGCGGCGCAGATAGATCCACAAGGCAGTTCAGCAAAGCCTGACATGACCCATTCAAAGTGAATGGGAAGCGATGACGCTGATGCACTGTGTGAATGGTAAAGCACTCAGTTTGATCAGTGGTGTTTAATAAGGATTGGTACTAAACTGTGCAGAGCTGTGGCTCTCCAGGAACGGAGTTTGACATTTGTCCTATAGAGTGTGAAATGTGTTGCTCATCTCACCTGCGATGTAAATCTCATCTAGTTTGACCGCAACTTTTCTCGGTAAGCCTGCATCTAGTAGCGTCTGGAAGTGCTCTGAATGGGTAACTGCTGCTGAAGACTCCACCGGTTCATCCGTACCACCATTTCCATTTATATGCTCCGTGGCCATGTCTCCGTGACCTGTGCAGATGTAAGGGGCCAAATTAATCCAAAACTGGGTCAAAGTTGAGTGTACTGGAGGCTGGGGTCTGTCTTCATCAGCAAGCAGAAACGCTGCAGGATAAACCTGATTTTACTCACTGCTCATTGATCAGAAACACTTTCTTATTGTTTTATGACGTAGCGAGCATGCAGTTTTAATAATGACAGTAATAGCGTCAGTATTTCCATACAAAGATGCAAGGTAAATTTATGCGCAAAACTGGATTATCGCTTAAAAGATTTACGAATAATGCAGCATTTCCGTCCAGTGAGTGAAAAAAAAACAATCACTGATAAACTGGTACCAAATATCAAACATAAAAACAGAATGTGCTGCATGTGTGTGTGTGTGTAATGCCGATCACACACAGTTTTTTATCAGATGATCAAAATCACATGACTTCTTAATGCACATATTGGAATTTGTTCAGTGTTTTCATTATAGTTTGTGCATTTTTGTAGTGAATAAAATGTTTATTCTACTCATTTATGCGCATAAGATCATACTTTCAAATTTTAAGCCCGTCTTGCTATTTTCATCAAGTATTTATGCCATAATCCAAAATGCGCATAAAAACAGGTGGACGGAAACATGCATGTTAAACCACATTTTGTTTTAAGAAAACCTTTAGGGGTAATGTTGAATTATTAAGTCACTCTTTATCAAATAAAAATACTAAAGCATCTCAAAATGATGCAGCAAAAAGAAAAAAGAAAAAGCCCAACCATAAGGACAAGTTTGTATTCAGTTTTTTTTACAGCGGTTTAGATCGTCATTCACAAAACTGACTTTTACCCAACTTATTATGCAAGTCAAAATAGATGTCTAAATATCATTCAGAAGGGCGCCACCATGCGTTCATTGCATGTCGTAATTTGCATCTTTGGATGGAAACATAGCTACAATTAAACATTTACACTTCATTTTAATTGAAGAGGATCTTTAAATGTACACGTTTTGCAAAAACGGCCATTTCTCTCCATTTACTGGTCTGAAAACGGTATGAATTTCATTCTGTTGAACACAACAAAATTAATCTGAAGCATGGTGAGAAAGTAGCCACTGACATCTACAGTAGGAACACAAAAACTCAACGTCAGACAATTAACTTCCCTTGTGTAAGAAGAAACATGACAGATAAATGTTTAGAACCCTTTGAGTGGGCAAATGGTGAAGAAATTTGTATTGCTTAAAGCATGTTTAAGAGATTTCGTTATTTGTGAAGCTGGAACTCAAAACTAGTCTTATGTTGGGAGGGAATATTTTTAGCAACAGCCAAAAATGCATTATAAGGATTAAAAATTAGGATAAAAAATAAATAAAGATCATAATCCATGAAGACATTGTGAATTCCCTACAGTAAAGATGAAATGCCTCCATTTTAGATTTAATTTTTTGAGAAATTTAAAATAGGCCTGCACAATATTGAAAAAACCTGACATTGTGATGTTTCCTTTTTCTGCAATATGTATAGCGATATGAATATAACTTCACCAGATGACTTAATTCGCTCTGTTTGGTAAGAATTCAGATACAGGAATGTAATGATCAAACGTAAAATAGCACTGCATAGTCTTCATTGTATAAATAACACAATAAAATATTTTTTATGAAGGTTTCAAATGGTACAATTCCTAGTGTCTGAACATGCTTATACAGTCACAAGCCTAAAAATTTGCCCTATTATAATAAAAATCTTCAATGACTCCATGTTCTGAACTGCGACTCCTGGTCAAATATAATCCTAATTCAACATTGCAGATCCTGCGATGTGACTAGTGCAGATGCACATATTGCTATTGGTTTATCAATGCGAACAGCTCTAACTTAAACAATTTTAAAGACAATTTTCTTCATACTTGAATTTTCTTTAAACACTCAGATCACAGAATTTAGCCGCATCTCACCAAAATATTGCCCTAACAAACCACACATCAATGAAAAGCTTATTTATTAGGGGTGTCACGATTTCGATTTTAAATCGAAATCAATCGAAATTTATGCTCAATTTCGATTATCGAATCAAAAAATAGAATCGTCGATGCTGCCACGCCCCCATGTCACGTCAGCTTGGCTTGCCAAGCGGGAAAAAAACAGGCTTGTTGAAGTGCTTGTTAAACTGCAGACGCAGGAGACCCGTCGACAGAGCTTAAACCCTCTCCTCTTTCAATGAAGTCGCCGGTGTGGAAGCATTTTGGATTTCCAGTGAGTTATGTTGACAACGTTCGTATTGCCGACAAAAAAAAAAACACAGTTTTGCAAGCTCTGCTATGTACGTATTACGTACGGTTCGTCCGATAGACAACACCGGCATCGCGATCCTCCGCCCGCCCCCATTGCAAATCTGCTCGCGAAAAGCACACTCAGGCCCTGTTTACACTGTCTTTGTTTTTAAATGGCATTTTAGAACGACAACAATTTGACATACACAGTGGCGTGTAGCATTTCTGAGCAGCCCTCTTTGCTCTCTACCTCTGAAAATGCACATCACGTGATCACACAGACACAGAAGCACTCACAGCAATGCGCTCGAGACAGCAGGTCCAGGCAGTCAGAGGATCAGTAGTCTGCTTCAATCTTTCACTCACTTGTACTTAGTCATTTTAGCAAACACCTCAGATACTGTTGGCTGGTTTCTGTTGGTTGTGCGTCTTTTTTACCGACGCCATTATAACGACACAGATCACTGCCTATTCAAACGTCCCGCAGAAAAAGTGATTGACAGGTGGTAATTATGTGTGTATCTTGCCTTTATTCATTTACTGTATGATTTGTTTATGGGTAAAACAAAGACCATGCAGGTCAGGTAGTTTAAACGGTAGGCTACAAATAACTAATTGGTCGTTAATTAATTAATTATTCATAATCGAAAATCGAATCGAATCGTGCCTTTAGAATCGAAAATGTAATCGAATCGAGGATTTAGAGAACCGTGACACCCTTATTAGTTATTCAACTTTCAGATTACGGATAAGTCTCAATTAAAAAAAATAACACTTGACTTTTTTGTGGTCCAGGGTAGGGCTGCACAATATATCGTTTCAGCATGGATACCGCAATGTGGTCATTCACAATTGTCACGTGGCAGGATGTGCAATGCTGAGTTTGTATTATAATTGATCATTTGCATGAGTTTTGATGCCTGCAATTAATGCTTTTAAAATTGTACAAGGTGTAAGAAATTGTACCATTTGTGACTTAACTACGATTAATTTTATTAAATTATTTTGATCATTCAGTTACTGTACTTAAATATTGTTAGACTCAGAAAATGACAAAATATTTTATTTCAAAATATTTTTCTTGTCTGTATTTATAGTTATACATGAAAATACTCCCAACACATGCAAATACATGAATGCACTGCAAACAGCACTGACCACAATGAAAATGTGTTGAAGGACCCCAAAATGTTTATAGACTGTTTATTAGATTTGATGGAGATACAAATGGTAAACATTTATTCAATCACTGCCTAAAAAAGTGCATGAGAGTATTCAACACATGCAAATAAAGAAAAGCACTGCAAATAGCACCGACCACAACAAAAAGGTCTCGAAAGACCGCAACAATTGTATAGATTGTTTATTAGATTTTATGGAGATGCACTGCAGAATCCTCTCAAACGATCTAACGTTATTAATTCTTTCCAAATAGAAATATTAAGTCAAACGTTGAAATTGCATTCATATCGCAAAATATATTTGCAAAATAAAATTGCAATGTCAGATTTTTCTAATGTTGTGCAGCCTTAAGGCCCGTGCACACCGGGACGCTTTTTGCTCGCCTTTTCAGTCGACGTTTAATAGGGCTGTGCAATTAATCGAAAATCTGATTTCGATGATGGCTTCTAACGATCACGAAAAACCATTAATCGAGATAAACGATTATTCCATTATTTACCGCCCTCTGTCCAGTTCTCCTCACTTGTTGCTCCTAAAAGCGCGAAAGACCGCATGCTTATGTATGTGCGGCGTGCAGACAGTCAGAAGCATGCGGTCTGCACTTGGTCTCATTCGCACATTGTGACGAGCAGAGAGCACACACATCTAAAGTCATTAACGAGAGCGCTTTAATGTTTAAATAGGTGTCAAAACGTGGTGTTTAGTGATTATTCATATTAACCATCATTTTGTAATAAACAAACGAGTTGAAAATCAAAACACGTGAAAGAGAAACCATATTAAAGTGACAGAGCACAGCTGCCGCCAGTTTTATCATGATTAATAAAACAACGAGAAAATCCCTCTTTGCTCTTGACTGAAGACTTTTGTAGCTAAAGTGTTTCTCTTACGGTGAAGATGCTAAAAGCACAGTTTGTTTGATATTTTTATTCTATTGTATTTATTTCTCTTTCCTTTGCAGGGAGGAAAATAATATATGTAGTTGAAGTCAGAATAATTAGCCCTTCTGAATGTTAGCAACCTTTTCCCCCCAATTTCTGTTTAATGGAAAGAAGATTTCTCAACATAATAGTTTTGATCATTCATTTCTAATAACCGATTAATTTTATCTTTGCTATGATGACAGCTCATAATATTTTAGTAGATATTTTTTTTAAATACAAACATTCAAATTCAAAGTGTGATTCAAAAGCTTAATTAGGCAAGTCCTTATATAACAGTAGTTTCTTCTGCAGACAATCAAAAATATATATTGCCTAAAGGGGCTAATAATATTGACCTTAAAAGAGGTTTCAAAATATTTAAATTGGCTTTTATTCTAGCCAAAACAAAACAAATACGCCTTTCTCCAGAAGAAAAATATTAGAGGAAATACTGTTAAAATTCCTTGCTCTGTTAAACATTATTTGGGAAATATTTATTTTTAAAAAAATTCTCAGGAGTGCTAATAATTTTGACTCCAACTAATAATCGTTTGGAATTATCGTGATTACAATTATGACCAAAATAATCGTGATTATGATTTTTCCCAAAATCGAGCAGCCCTAGGAAACATACGTTACCAACCCGTCATCACTTAACAAGCGGATTGTAACATTAAAGCGCCTCTGGCCACGACCCCTTTACTGCGCGGGGTGTATGTGCGTAACCTGAAGGGTTTATGACATCATTAACCCAGATGTGTTTTTTTTCTGTAGTCCACAAACTATGTTTGCTGTAGGCTAAGCTACCTCTGTAAAAGCCAGTCTCTCTTTGCATTCAACTTTAAGCATATTGCATTCAGTATTATTGTTTATTTTCACACAGCTACATTACACATCAACTAAAGTTTAAAATGTATATCGTAGATATGGCAGTGGATAACCCCTTTAAACATGGTCAACCATTTGGTAGAGCAGGCAATTAAAACGTTAAGTGGATTGAACAGAAAACAATTGAGCTGTGAAAGTAGAAATAATCTCAAGGATTGTGTTGCTTCAGCTCATTTTAAAGGAGTAGTCTGAACAAACGGCAGAATCATGTATTGAGTGCAGTTTCGTGCGTGTTTCATCACTCAGATCTCCACGTGTTTGATTCCCGCTTCACGAGCATGTGCACTGAGATCATCTTCATCATCATCATCATCATGCTGTCTACTGAGGGAAAACCACCATTTAGGTCACATCCTCCTCATCACTGCAGATCTTTATCATTTCACCATTCATCACTTCAATAACTAGTGATCAATACACTTTAGCTTAACAATACTATTTATTAACCAACTCATCATCATACTACTACCACTAATTATAATAAAACTAGCAAATGGTTAATCTCCATATTAGTCGAGTGTGTATAAAATGACGGACTGGCGTCAGGCTCTGTCTCTTTGTTGTGTCACTGTGCAGATGCTGAATGACAAGGGCACACTCGCTAGGCCACAACACCAGAGCTACGTGGACACTCGGCGCTCTGATAAACACAGTTCCAGCACATAAAATCCGACACTAAACAGAAACACACAAGCCTTCAGCTTCGCGATCGAGTAATTAACACTTCCTGCGGAAAGTTTCGTCATGCTCGGACGTGTTAAGTTTGTTTGTTTGTGTGACAGAGTGTATGTGTGTGTGTGTGTTAGGGAAGGAGGGGGCATCGTGTTTGTTGTCCACCAGCAAACATAAAAGCACACAATGACTCCGCCACGCCAACTAAACACTGTACGTGTGTACGAAATCAAAACGAAGAGAGTCCGGGAATTATTGGTAAACGTGGCCGTGTATCCGCGCGCGCGTGCCGCCGCTGAAGCCGGTGCCGCCGTGCACTATTATCCACTGAAAACCACATATCACAACGCGCTCAGCCTTCGCCAAACTGAACAGAACGCTCTCATACCTGTCAGATTATATCTTGGTTTGTGTTGGGATAAATCCAGAGGGAAACGTATTGAAAGAGGATAAAGTGGCCAAATCCCGCCGTGTCTGCTATCTCACTCTTTTCAATAGGTCTGGTGCAAAATGGCGGCGAAACTCATGCCGCGGGAGTTTTTTTCCGCTTCCGGTTGTACGGGGTTTCTCAGGCAGCCATTGGAGGGGTCACGTTACACGGCGAAGCGCGTTCGGGATGGCATCATGGATGACATATTTAGGCTACTGTTGCTCACTGCTCTGCCTAGTGTTTACTCTTTACTACACTAGCCCAGTTATATAAAGTGTGCTGTTTACTAAGATTCATTTTTAATAAAACATCTAACCTAAAATGGATGTGTGAAAAAAAGATGTGAAGAGGAGAAAATCCCCTCTCTTCAGTGTCAGTTCATTCATTAAAGTGTTGTAGATAAAATCCTAATACACTTCTCTATATTCATTCATTTTCTTAGTATCTTTATTAATCTGGGGTCGCCACAGCGGAATGAACCGCCAACTTATACAGCACATGTTTTACGTAGTGGATGGCCTTCCAGCTGCAACCCATCACTGGGAAACACCCATACACTGCCATTCACACAACCACTGGCACTTACGTTAAAAAAAATGTGTAAATTCAATAATTAATTTTTGTCAGTGTAAAGTGGCACTACAGCAGAAGATTATGGGTACACTGAAAAAATGCTGTCTGCAAAGTTGTTGCAAACAATTTATTTGTGTTAAATTTAAACAAACAAATTAAATTTAGTACTGTTCAACTTAATTTGTTTGTTTAAAATCAGCCCAAATAAATTGTTTACAACCCCTTAACTTAAAAGAATTGAGTAAATCCAAGGAATCATCCTTGAATCATTATTTCTAAACTGATGAAAACTTACTAAAGACAGAATAAATCAAACTTATTTAAAACCCCACTTTTATTTTTTTAAGATCAAATTTTCTCAATTTAATTTAGTCTAGCGCTAGTAAAAAATGCAGGGTTCCACACAATTCATTCATGTTGTCCAAACACAAGTTGATTAAGTAAACACATTTAAGTTTATTGAACATAAAACAATTGAGTTGTCCCCCCAAAAATTGTGTTGTTTCAGCTTATTTTAAATAAGTAGTTAAGCAAGCAGCAAATCATGTGAGCTACTGAAATAAAACAAAAATAAACCCAAATGAAAATGTAATAATAAATCTATAAAACCATATAGAAATGTATAACACAAATAAAACTAAAACTACTAAAACTTTACCTAAGATAATAATAAAAAACATATATAGCATTTCGACGATTACAAAATAACAGTGTTAAAAAACAGAGCAACAAATAATTTGGTTGCCAAACGGCCTGGTCTGAGTATTAAAGAAACTGCTGATCTACTGGGATTTTCATGCACAACCATCTGTAGGCAGTTCTGTGGGTGCAAATGCCTTGTTGATGCCAGAGGTCAGAGAAGAATGGCCAGACTGGTTGCAGCTGATAGAAAGGCAACAGTAAATCGTAGTAAACTAATCATTCGTTACAACCGAGGTCTGCAGAAGAGCATCTCTGAATGCACAACACATCCAACCTTGAAAAAGGCCACACCAGGTGCCACTCCTGTCAGCTAAAACTCCAAAGCCTACCTGAGTATTTTTGCTGACCATGTCCATCCCTTTCTGACCACAGTGTCTGCACCATGTCATAAAGCACAAATCATCTCAGACTGGATTCATGAACATGACAATGAGTTCACTGTACTTAAATGGCCTCCACAGTCACCAGTTCTCAATCCAATAGAGCACCTTTTGACATAATGGGAAATTCGCATCATGGATGTGCAGATGACAAATCTGCAGCAACTGTGTCATGCTATCATGTCAATATATTTCCGGGTACCTTGTTGAATCTTTGCTATGAAAGATTAAGGCAGTTCTGAAGGCAAAATTGGGTCCAACCTGGTACTAGTAAGGTGTACCTAATAAAGTGGCCGGTGAGTGTATAAATGTAAACACACTGTCATTTTTTAACATGGAATTGTTGTTTTATTTTTTATTTGCAAGCCCCGTTTTGCTGGACATATCTAATTTTTTCAGCGTTGTTCTGTTTTTAAAAGCTTAAATTGATAGTTTATCAATTTTAAATTAAATTAAATCTTTCTATTGTAGATTATTTAATTTATACATTTATTCGAAAATGATTCTAAATGTATTTTAATATAAAAAAGCATTAAGAAATTTGTTGTTGAAAGTTTTATTTTGCTTGATTTATTATATTTAATGTGATTTATCTAGTCAAAAGCGGTTTGGTGAAAGCTAAATGATTATGATAATGCTGTCAGTGCGTGGTCCTCCTCCTGGTGGCGCTGTTGTGCGGTTGTTTTGGAGGCGCCGGTCGGCTCTTGATGGTCTGGCACTTCGGGACGTGTCTCTCTGCTGGACCCGGGGCAAATTTACGGCCACAGTGCGGACAGGTGATGTATTCTTGGTGTAGACCCGATGTTGAATTAGGCTGTTGAGATGTGCTGGATCGACCCTGACGCATGGTCTGAATGAAGGCCTCGTGTTTCTGACGCCACATATTCTTCTTACGCTGCGCGGGAAAAAACAAACAAACAATAAAACAAAACAGTGAAATTTGTCTATAAAAGATATATTTCTGTATTTCTCGGATAATGATCATGCTCTCGATCTTATTGTAAATTTTTTTGTGTTACACTGTACATTTTTTATACACAAAAATAAGTTTCTAAAAACAATACCTGTTTTTAATACTTTCCTTGTTGAAATTTCGTATAATATTGAATCTCTTAAGCTTATTAATAACAAGAAGAATAATAAGTTTCTTAAAGCTTACGACAATCTTTTTTATTAATGTTTGAGGCTGTGTATTTTTTTTTCTCTCTGTCTTTCTTATTTTTTGTTATTGTATTTTTTCTTCAATGCAGTGATGTTATTATTCTTGTATTCAATAAAAAAATAAATAAATAAATAAAAATAAAACAAAACAGTGTGACTTCACTGACAAGAGGCGTTATGAAGTACTAATACACGTGAATGCTGGCATCAACACTGTTTTCACTACAGAGGCAAAAATGCTGCATATGAAAATTTATTTCGCCCAAAGGAAAAAAAATGCATTGACTCAAAGGTTTTTATAGACCATGAATTACTTTGATTCAACTTATAATCAAAGTAAAATTATACTTTGGACTAAACTATAATAAAAACATATGCTATGCTATTCTATTGCTAGTTGTTTTATTTAATGTCACGCAAGTTGCTAATCATAAAAAGTAAATAGCAGTATTTTTTTAATGTGAGACATAGGGCTGTGCGATAAGACGATATTTGATCGTGGACGATCAAAATTGCAGCATAATCCACTTTCAGAAAAATCGTTGAGTCGACATACAGCTTAAAAACAAAAATCTATTCAGTTCACTCTGAGCAGAATTGATATTTTTTCGTTTCTGTTCTTGCGTTCCTCATTAAACAAAACATTACGAAAACGGTTTTCTAGAAAAAATACAGCACAACACTAAGGATTTACCTTTTTTTTTCTCTGGCCACACCAAACTAATTATTTCCTTGCCAAATTTTAAATAATGCGTAAAAACAAGCAAAATCAAAAATTTTATTCAACAAAAATATTCTTAAAAAACCAATTAAAAAAATATTCTCACATATCTAAAACTATATTCACCTTATTATCAGCTTATGAGTGGGCGCTGCCATTTGAATCTTTTTGTCTCGCGACTTCCGGTCACATTCACTTCCATTCATTTTTTGACGTTAACAACTGCTCGTTACGCTGCTTGATGTTGCAATTTAATATTTTCTTATTATATTATGCTACTTGGTCTGTGTAGTCATGCAAACATTTGTTTGTTGAGCAAGTAGTTTGGCCATTTTCTGCCGTTTATTATTCCTAGTCATTTCTCCCATAGGCGACTGAATCGGAAGTTCTAAGACAATCGCGAAAACAGGCGCACTTCCGCATTTTAGAATAAGGTCAATACAGTAGTCTGTCCAGGCTAAAGCTCCCAGATCACCAGTTAACTATAGATAAATAGAAAGTTAATCTCCTATTAAAGCAATGTTATTGTAATGGATGACAATTGAACCACATTAACAAAAAAAGCTGCAAGCAAAAGAAAGACAGTGAAAAACATTCGTTAATGTTAGGCATATTAATAATCTGTTAAAAGAATGGTTAAAGTGAAAGCGGCAACTGCTGCTGCTTACAAAAAATCTCAAGCTCTTTAAAACAGCAGGAGTGTAGTTGCACGAGCACCGCTTTTCCCAGTCTTTTTCAAAGACAAACAAGTTGCGTTTCCAGCCACAATTGCTTCGTGCAAGGAAATAGGAAACAGGAGCTTTTAAGCACTCACGCGCATCAAATCAGCTGTGCGCACGACACTGTCATCAGTGAGCAAGGATCTCAGTGCTCCCGATTATCCTCTTATTCGGTATTTGCCTGCTTTCTTTTGCTAGCGCGAACACTTTATAAGATCGTGCTGCTTCTCGATAAGATCACATTTGCGTGCATATTGACAAAAGGTCTTCAACTATAATTGTAATCTTTAGTGACGGGGCAGCACTGGCAATTTAAAAAATATTTTTAAACAGCCAAAGTGTCTAGTGAGGGTGTCTGTCTAACACGCCACAGGTGAAATCTACCCGCATTTGCCGGGTGTTAGGCCCCGTTTACACTGTCAGGTCTTGATGCCCAATTCCAATTTGTTGGCCTGTCTGTTTACACGTTGTTTTAATTGTGACCCATATCCAATTCATGCGTTTACACTTCTATACAATTTAAGATGTGGCGCACGCATAAAGGCGGGTTCTAGCATCTGTGCCACACTAGCCACGATGGAAGAAATTATCTTGTTTTTAGCTCTGCGAAATATGCGAAGTGTTCTGTAAGCAGTGAATGGTTTAGTCCAAATTTACCCCCACGCAGTTTATGTAATGGTATGGCCATGATGTGTGTGTGTGTAGTTGAAGATGTAGCCTTTGCCTGTGTGCGCACTGGTGTTGGAGAGAATAAAGTTGTTCTATGTGTAGCCCGCAGTGCGTGTATTAATAGCGACAAAAAGCAAAAGTTACAACACGAAGTTCGCCCAACTTTAAAATGATTTGAGGTG